GTGTGTGTGTGTGTATTTGTATATATATATATATATATGTATATGGATAATTATAGATATATAATCGTGTATATACATATATGTATATATATATATACATACATACATACATACATACATACATACACACTTATCTGTTCAGCCAAGTTGCTGGCATTTGTGGCGAGGCTGAAAATTCGATCAAGCAAAGCATGCATTCATCTTGGTCCCGCTCGGTTTGCACCGGCACGGCCTCCAGTGCAAAGCAAGATCATGTGCCCGCAAGCAGCCAGACCCTAAATGTCCCTGAATAGGACAGTGGGACCCGCTTCAATCTCTTGATAAAAACCCCCAGATTTCAGTCAGAAGCCGCCTCAGTTAAAGCCAATCCAGCGCTGTTGCGCCTCTTCCAGACGCCTGCGGAGCTCCTCGCTTTGGACTCCGCGGCGCCGCACCAAGCGCCGTTTGCGCAGGCGAGGGTCCTCCCGAGAGTCTGGTGCAGTCTACGCAGAGTCCACAGCTCTACGAGGGAGTCCTTCTGCTGGGCAAAGCCTTTTTCCGGACCGAAAACAATTTGGTACTGACCTCGGCCCATGCCGCTTCTGTCAATTCCATGTCCGGGCACAGGCTGTTGAGCAGACATGGACATGCGCATAACAAACCAACAGACACAAGTGCAGACGGGGTTGCGTACTCCGACTGTGATGTCTACCTGCACGGTGCAAGTTTGCTCCCTGTAGTGAGCCGGCATCTATTTCTTCCCGCCTGCTCGTGTCCAGCACGATAAGCCGCTTCTATGGCAGTGTTCTGCTCTTCACCTTGGGCCGCAGGGTCACAACAACGCCCAGGTGAGAGAGCTTGAGATTATTATGTTACCAGTGGCAAAGCGAGTGTCACAACAGTGGGCCGAGTTCTGCGATCATGGAGCGGGTCAGGAATACTGGAAGCTGCCAAAGCACATGCAGTTCAACCAGGATACAATATTGCGAAAGTTTCTGCGGACAAGTCGCCATAGAGCCCCCACTCAGTCTCCTTCCATAAAGCTGGATTGCAAAGACATCTGAGGCACTGGAAACTCGAACTCTTCGGAAAGGTGAAAACGAACTCAGCAGCACCTCGCATGACAATAACGGGCTAACAGCAACCATCATAAGAAGAGACAACAGTAGCGTTTCTCGACTGCCTCCAGGAACTCGGCCTGTCCTGGAGCCACTTGCCTGAAAACAGCAGTCATCTCAGATCCCAGAAGCACAAGAAAACAATCTGCCGGATCCTCTCCACGGGTTTTTACAACGTGGAGGAGCCTATGCCTGTCTGGGATGTGAAGCAGATCGTGCCACAAGAAATCCGACTACGCAAGATGGGCAAGAAGTTCGCGAGGTGGTAGGGATATAACAGGCCAAAGCGCAAGGCTTTGCACCACTGCCAGAGACCCGTCTCTGCGTCGTCCTCCCGCGGCCTGGTGTCAGTTCATGTGTCTGCATTCGGTCATGAGTAGAGTGAGGTAACTTTCAGAAGCACCCGTCTGGGACCGCGAAGTTGTCGTGCTCCCACAGTGAAGCTTCTCTGAGGTGCCTGGGCGATGCCTCAGCAGGAGGCGTGACGGTCTCCGATAGCTCGGCGCTGCCGAGCACCTCCTCAGGCAGGGAAGCCACCCGCTCCTCGAGGCTGCACTGTGAAAGCAACGGCCAATGTGGTGACGCTCGCCAAACAGCTGGCCTCCGCATTTTGGGCATCCGCCTCGACGATCCGCCACCGATGCCTTGTGTGCCTCAGCTCTCGGCTTTTGAACGCTGAGGCTCCCTCCGACTCAGCCCCGCATCGTTCTGGAGATACTACATCGCGGACAAACATGGACAAACAACCGCTTCACAAGAGGTTGCATCACGAGCGTGATCCAGGCAGGTATGGCAACCCGCCTCTATACATGTCGGCATGTTTGTGATTAGACCGTATTTGACCCATATCAGCATCTGCATTCGGAGAAGTGGCGCGACGTGAAGACGAATAGGCTCCGTCGGGCTTGGCAGGGAGAAGCGACGAACATCGCGGCTGCCCCGCCCTGGCAATGTCGAAGGGCCCGGATTGGTCCAGATCTAGTGGGTCTTGATATTCAACAGGGGCAGCCGTGCGTGCATGATCGAAGTTCCACCATGCCGTCTCTGGAAGAAGCTACAGGAACCCTTAACCCTAAGCGTCCTAAACCAATTAAGAGAGACACGAGGCAAAATGATTGGTTCTACAATGGGGGTCGCTGTAGACCGTGGATCCGGCGGGTGCGTCATCGGCTTGAGTCCCAGTAGGTTGCATCGGTGTCAGTCCCCTTCAAACGGAAAGGATCCTGTGCTTGCGATGGTTTGGAAAGATACCAGGGCCAGGGACCGAAGTCAAGGGAAAGAGTGGCAGATGGAACACCGGTTGTTAGACTTCCCAACGAGGGTCCCCACAAGCTGCAATATCCAGAAGTCGCACAATGAGGGGGAGCAAGAAAGGAACTCGAAGCTGTGCGGAACTTCGTGGTCGTGGTTTGGGCAGCACCACCGTCGCCGATAGAAAAGGATCAAAGCTTGCTGCAGCTGCATGGCCTTGCTCACTGCTAGCGACCTCAACACTGTACAGGCGCGATCAGGTGCACTGCCTAATCTGGGAGATGCGTGGGAGCGCACCACATACACTCAAGAGGGAGATCCCGGTGCCAGCATGCGTGTTGCTTTGACGTTCTGCCTGTGCGCTGCATCGGTGCAGAGCCCAACTCCACGTGCGCGTCGAAGAACCTGTGCGAAGGAGAAGGCACGAGCTGCGTGGCGCTCTAACCGGCGTGCTATCCCAACTGGCCGACCTGCTTCCCAGACTCACGCACGCATCACCACGTTGGCGTGCGGCTTCCAGGAGTCTACTCACCTGCCGAGCAGGAAGCTTTGAATATGAAAAGTTTAACATGTCTCATACGTTTTGCAGTCTTTTTACTGAAGTTACGACGATTGAACTGGCTTGACCACCTTCAACATCCTCGCGCCATGCTGCTCGTGCACATGTGATGCTAGTCACCAACGTTCAGCGGTAACGTGCCTCCTTCGGGTAAGGAATAATGTTGCCGCTCCGCGGATCTATTGAAATCCACAGCAGCCACGTCAGATTAGAAGGCACAGAGTTCTCAATTCGGCTGCCACGAGCACGGCCTGTAGTTGGAAAGCGAAGCACGACTGACACTCTATAACGAGGACAGGAGATAAGGATGATAAGGCTTCGAACAGCTCACAATTTCCTAAGTTCCGTAGTGCTTCCAGGGTGCTCTCCAGCGCATGCCAAACTTGACTGAGGCACTGGAAGAGTCCTAAGCATTTCTCGAAGCCCCTCAGATTCTAAGAGTCCAAGATAGTCCAAGACATGCCTCCAGGCCCTTCGTTTGCTTCAGGACCGAGGATCGCCAGGGATTTGTGTCCGACAGAAATGGCTGTCCGGCTTCTGCTGAGCCATGGCGCAACTTTCGGCAAGCCAGACCCATTGCCTCACAGTGTTTCAGTCTGTGCTGGCCTACAGCTTGATCCGAAAGTCAGCAATACTCATCTCTCGCCTTTGATGCGTACCTACTCATGTAAGAGCCCTTCCTGTCAAGCCTCTGCAGGGAGCATCCCAAACTCCCAAACTTGCCCATTCCGTGCAGGTTGCGCGACTCAGCCGCTGTCACTGCCTGCCACCGAGGATGCGCTCGAAGTGCCGCCTTGCCGGTGATGGGCGGAAGCGCTGCCGCGCCTAGGGGATGCTCAGACCGCAAAAGGAGGAGGAGGAGGAGGAGAAGCAATCTTGTGCTGGCGAAGCCCCTGTCAAGCTGCAAGCTTGAATCTTTCCGACAATGAACCAGCTTGTCTGTAGCATCATGCTGCTGCGACGGCTGCTGTGGAACCCTGCGACAGCTTCGCACTGCTTTCCAAAATCGGTCCAGCGTCCAGAAGCATGCGACAACTGCCGTCCAGCGGCATTATGCGCAGCACGATTTCTGACCCCTAGTAGACAGACCTGGCATGCTGACAGCCAGTGCCTGCATATGCCGGGCCAGCAACTCTTTTACGTCTTCCTTGAAATCTGCTGCT